TTTTTACATTTTTAATCCTCCTTTTAAAAAAGAATTTATTTGTATCTTTTTAATTTAGTTTCAAAGCATAAATCGTAAGATATAGAAAATAAATAAATGCATTAAATCATGAATATCATAGAATTTTGTTGTAAAAATATGAAAAATGAGTCATTTATAATTATAGTTACTTTTGATAAAAGAAAATAATAACACTTTTTGATACAAATTATTATGAATAAATAAATAAAAAGATAGTAAAAGACAAATTTCAAAGCATGAAGGTATAATATGGATTATCTATATTATTTCATATAAAACCATAAAATAGTTAACTTATTCGATTTCAATTTATATTATTGGATAATTTATTTTTAGTGTATTTTTAAAAATAGTTTTTCAAATATGTTTTATTTTATTTCAAAGCATATAAAAAGAGTAGGATAAAGTAAAAAATCAATAAAAAAAAGCAATTACTGTAATAGATTTTCATGATAAAAATATGAAAATTATTAATTTATTTTTATACTTATTTTTAATAAAACAAACAATAAAGCATTTCATAATCCAAATTGATATACTCTAAATCCTCACCAATTGTGGCCAATTGAATTAAGGCCAAAAATGGTAAAAATAAAAAATTTATTGAAATTATAATAGATTAAATTATAAATTAATTATAATTCATTTAAAAAATATATATATATATATAAATCAGATTTTTTAATAAATAAATAAAAAAATATATTTCATAATATGTCATTATGAAATTTTTGTATGGCATCTGGCTATAATTAAAGATATTATAAATATTCCAAAATTACAGAGCTAAAACAGAAAAATCTACTGATAAATTATTTTTATTATATTTAAGAACATTAACTACAAGGTTTTTTTCAAATATGACTAAATAAATAACTGGCCATCTCTAATTCCTACTATATTTTAAATTATATGTTTTAAATACAAATATTAAGTTTAAATAGTGAAAGTTAAATCAATTTGATGTGATATCTCATCATAGAACCAAATATATAAATTAATATTTGATAATTAATTAATTGTTATATTTATTTGTTCTTTTTATCCTTTTATAATTAATTAATTAATTAAATTTCATAAATTGCTATTCAATATTTTTGAAAAAAAAAATAAATGATATAATAGATTAAAGAATATTATAATCTCGAAAAAGTAATTATTAATTTTTTTATTAATATCCTTTAAATTTATAAAAATTAATAAAAAAAGTTTAAAAGCTCTTCACTTTTATCTCA